CCATCACCATCACCATCACCATCACCATCACCATCACCATCACCATCTCCACCACCACCACCATCACCATCACCAACACTACTCATGTTAGCTTTAAATTTTACAGAGCATTTTTCTTCCAACAACCTTCATGCAAATATTTTTCAGATGAGGAAATTGAGACTTTAAAAAGTTAAGTGCCTTCCCAGGATCACATGGCTAAGAGTCTGAGGTGGGGGTCCAAATCAAGGGCTCCTGACTCGAAGGCTGGCACTCTAGTCCACTACAAGGGACTCATCAAATATTTGACAAACAAGTTTCTTGGAGAATCTAATAAAAAGATTGTGTGTTTTCTGATCAGGTCATTGCGCTGGGATGTATTACACTCTGGAACCAAATATGTCCATGACCACAGAAGACTATTATCCAGACTGGCTGGCTAGCCCCTGCCCCACTGCATTCAGCCAGAAATCCAGCTCTCTGCTTCTCGCCTTGCTCTACTGCCTCCTCTTTGTCTTGGGCCTGCTGGGGAATGTCCTGGTCATTCTGGTTCTGGTAGCCTGTAAAAAGCTGGGAAGCATGACTGATGTGTACCTGCTCAACCTGGCCATCTCCGACCTGCTCTTTGTGTTCTCCTTCCCCTTCCTGACGCACTACACTCTGGACCAGTGGGTCTTTGGAAACACCATGTGTAAGGTCATCTCAGGAGTTTATTACATCGGCTTCTTCAGCAGCATATTTTTCATCACCATCATGAGCATGGACAGGTACCTGGCCATCGTCCATGCAGTCTATGCCTTGAAGGTGAGGACAACCAGGAAGGGCATGGCTGTCAGCTTCCTGGTGTGGTTGGTGGCTTTTTTAGCCTCTGTCCCTTCGCTGGTGTTTTACCAGGTGTCTTCCGAGGAGGGCACCCTCAAGTGCTATTCCTTCTATGATGACAGAACTATTGAGTGGAAACTCATCACCCACTTTGAAATCAATATCCTGGGCCTTGTCATCCCACTCAGCATCCTTGTTTACTGTTATGCCAACATCCTGAGGCACCTGAAGGGGTGTCAGAACCATCACAAGATCAAGGCCATCAGGCTGGTCCTCATCGTAGTGGTGGCACTTTTCCTCTTCTGGGTTCCCTTTAACATGATGCTCTTCCTGAATTCCCTACACAACCTGCATATCCTGGATGGGTGTGACTTGAGTCAGAAACTCACCCAGGCCACCCAGATAACTGAGGTCATCTCCTTCACCCACTGCTGTGTCAACCCTATAATTTATGCTTTTGTAGGGGAAAAGTTCAAGAAGCACCTCTCTGATATCTTTGGGAAATACAAACGTCATTTCTGGGCATACAAAGAAAGCTATTACTCCCAGGAATATACAGATAGATCATCTGTACCCCACTCAGCTTCCTCCACCACAGACTATATTTTGTGAAGGAGGGTAGTCCTGGCCCTGGTGAAAAATGTTTGTATGGAATTCAGGGATTGCAGGAAGGAAGCAGGGAGAAGATGTTTTGTTCACAAGGAAGACAGACAGACATTTGCTATTTTCTTCCGGTATCTCCTATTATGGATTAAATACTCTCTTCCTTCCCTCCTTCATTTCATAAGAGGCCATTTGCAATTTTCTGGATATATTCCCTGGCTAATGCTTTCTTTGGAGTTAGGAGGAGAGTTAACAGGAGCTAAATTCTGATCGCATAAGTCAGGGTGTGCCAAGGATTTGTAGAAGAATCCTTAAATTGGGAATGGTCAGCATCTAACCACAGGCTTTAGTTTCATCTAACCTGCAGGGCACGTATCAGAGGCATACATAATGTAAATACACTAGACTGGGGCTCAGAAGAAGCTGTGTTGTAGGCTTGGCTCTGCTGCTAACCAAATGGGAAACTGTGAATGTAACAGTTCACTTCTTCGTGAACAACGCTTTCCTCCGATCTCCCTGCCTTTACTCAGGCTGAGTCCCTGGTCTGGAATGCACTCCCTCCTTACCTCCCCCTCATGGAATAATCCCCAACTTCCTTCCAAGCACAGCTCATGGACAACTTTCCTCATGATCTACCTTTCCTAATCCACCTTGCCCCCCTCCCACCAAGTTGTTAATATTCAGTCATGTTCTTGAAATAACTTTGTATATCTTTTTTTATTTACTCACATGTGTAAACATTGTAGTCACTAGAATAATGTATGCTTCCTGGGGGGGTGGGGGCGGGGAACCGATTACTTTGTGTTTGTATCCCCAGTGACAGCTTCTAGCACTTTCTCTCGCAAACAGTAGGCACTTCTAAAAAAAAATTAAGTTGAGTTGACTTGCATTGAATTGAGAATATGGATTCTTACAAAGCCACCAGTCATTACGGCATAAAGAAAAAAGCAAGTGTATTCCAAGTGCCTCAGAGGGCTTTGAAGGAAACCCACCCATTTGCAGTCAGGCATTCAAAGCCTGACTCTGAATCCTAGGAATTGCAGTCCTGGAGACTACCATGTCACAAAACTCTGATCTAGTTCTGGGTGACCTTCTCACAAGCTGGAATTTTTTTTTTTTAACATGATTAAGGGAAAAAGGAAAGGCTGACAGTGAATGGGCGACAGGACAGAAGGAAACCCCTGCAGGGGTTTTATGCTGTGTGTTCTGAGCACAGAGACTAAGCAGGGCAGGCTGGTCCCAGCAGCCAGATCTCCACTCTACACAACAAAGAACAGAGATGGAGACTGATGGTTCAAAGGGTGGCCACTTCTTGGCGATCGACTCAAGGACATTAAAGATTTAATTTCCTCCCTGGTGTCTATCTCTGATAAACATTTTTTTCTGTGTCTACATGCAGTTTTTATTTGTTGATTTTTTTTGTTTTGTATTAAAAAAAACCCTATGATCAAAAACTTCTTGATGATGCATGTCTATACATTAATTTTGTGCAGGTAGGAGGGCAATGGAGGATGCCTGTGATTACCGGGAATATACAAAATTTAATCAGGACAAAGAACTGGGTTCAGAGCGGCTAGGATTTTCTGGATTCATAGCGAGCATTTTACTTAGTTTGGGGGCTCTGAGCTGTATTTGTGAGAGAAGTTTATGGTTTTGATGTTTATTGGTTGTTAATAATGTTTACCTAAAATAATAGAGAGAAATGATTCATGTGGAACAGGACCAATTCAGTCCTAGTCATAGTTGTAACTGAGGTTGGGTTTGGTTTAGAATATAGGGTACATCTAGGGGAAAACACTCCAGGCTCTTGAATAATGGGAGAAGAAAGAGGTGGTCTGGAAGAGTCCACTCCCCCTCCCCTCCTTTGGAATTACTTGGGGTGGAGGAAGGGAAAGAGCAAGAACTAGTGGAACATTTTATTTATATTTTTAAATTTTATTTTATTTTCAATTCACGGAACAAAACAAACATTTCCGTAACAGAGTACAATGAAAAAGATAATTGTACATGAAACTGCAAATCTACCATCTACAACTTGCTATTCCTTCCAAATTTACAACGAAGTCACCATGTAAATTTCTTTATTTCTTTTTTTTTCCCTCCCCCCTCCCCCACCTTAGAGATGGCTGCCATTAGATAGAAATGAGTGTATATATATATATATATATATTTATACGCATATATACACACACATATATACCTATATATGTATATTTGTAAATTTATTCTATATATGCTTCTATTTATCAGTTCCTTCTCTGGATGCGGATAGCTTCTAGGGCTTTTTGAAAAATTTTCAGATTTCTGTTCTATAGCCAAACTTTGTCTCAGAATAGCAGCTGCTTGGTGATCATTGAGGACTCATGCGGCATTTGAATACAGGACCTCTCCTACTTACAAAGTCACTTCCAAGGCTGAACACACTTCAAGAACCCATCACCTTCTCAGGAAAGGAAACAAAAGCAGAAATAATAGCTAGGGGACCAGTCGCAAGCTCACCTAGTCGAGCCAGTGTTCCATGCTGCCCACCTATTCTCCACACCCCTTCATGAGGAGTCCAGAGACAAAATACACTCCCTGAGACGAGGAAGAGCCCAAGCCAAATGCTGTCTTTTCCTTTAACTGATAGAGAATCCTGACCCCCCTTCCCCCAACCCATTCTGCTCTGTGTTGGCACAGGGAGGACCAAAGAACTGTTGAGAGCTTGCTGGATTACAGAACAGCATCCAGTGCTCCCAATGCAGGACCACTGAATGGCCAGAGGAGAGCGCCAGAAGCTCCCCTAAGGTCATCCTGAACCAGGAAGGACAACTCTAACTTGGGCACTCCATGGGATGGTTCCTTCCTACACTCTCCCCTCAGTTCTACCATCTAACAGCATTGACTGTCCAATGCATTTTTTTCCTCTGATCCTTTGCAAACTATCAGGTACTTTTAGGGTTTAAAAGTTTATTTCTTTTTTTCTTCTTTCGTTAAGGGGGCTACAGAAGGAATGCTAATCCATTAGATTATACATTCTTTAAGGGCTGGGACTGTCTTTTGACTCTCTTTGTGGTACCTGGCTCTTAGGAGACCTTAATGTTTATTGATCTTCTAGTCTTAGACAGTTGCAGGGGGGAGGGGCACTAAGAGGTTAAGTGATTTGCCCATCTGTGGTGCCCATCTGTGACAGAAGCAGACTTAAATCCAGGTCTTCCTGACTCAGAGGCCGACTCTCTGCTATTGTCCACTGCCTCTCCCAACCGGAAACATAAATCGATTTTTCACATTCAGAAAACTTTCAGAAGTCTATAATGGAAATAAACTTTCATTTAAAAATATCTTTAAAGTCTGAAATGAAAAACAATCACTTCCCAGTACAAAAAAAAAAAAAAAAAGACAGTTTCTTATCTGGCACAGAGCGGTAATTACAAATTTAAATATATTTGAATGCCCACAGCTCAAGTGAAACTGAGAAATGTGAAAAGAACAGTTTAGATTTGACAAACTCACCTCAGAGCCCTTCTTCCTTCTCCCTCTGAAGTTAGTCAGTGCTTCTGGTCCTGACACAACACTAGTAGCTCTGATGGGTGAACACCCCACCTTAGAGGCACCTGCAAGCAGCTGGCCTATGTAGAGGCCCTGGCTTGCACACATGGCACCATTTGAATGCTGCCTGAGTTGTTGCATTTCTGCCAGCTCTGGAAAAGAGTTACCCTTATCAAAAGGTGGAGGGGGGAAGCAAAGGAGGTCTTCCTAGAAACCTGGAATAGGCACTGTTAAGACCCAGGAGTATGGATTCAGTCCCTACTGTATATCAGTTTAATATTTCCAGGTACCAGAGTTTGCAGAACTAAGTTTGTAGGCCCATTGAAGTAGGGAGAGATTTTTTCTTTGCATGACTTCTTTGTACTTATATCTCCAGCCCAGTACAGTGCTTGGTACATCATAGGCACTTAATAAATACTTGTTGATTGGACTTTTTTTTTTAACCGAATTGGGTTTTGGCAAGGCTGCTGGACCAGCCTGCTCTATGCCTTGCAGCTGTTTCTGATTTTCCCCTTGTGAGAGTCTCAGGTCCTTTACCCATGATCAAGGGCTTCACCAAAGTGACCCAGTGATGTTTTTGCATGGTCCTAGAGAAATAGGACTCCTAAGTGCTCTATGTGCAGTCAGGAGTATGTGATCATCTGAGGACATTCTGTTCGAAGTGGAACCATTAAGCAGGGATCAGAGGTCTGTGGTGAGAGAAGTGACTCCCAGACTAACGCCTGAGGCAAAGCTAAACTGAGAGCAGCCTTAGCTAAAATCAAGGAGGAAAATAGCCCAGATGTAGATGCAAGGGGATGTCCATTGGTGGGAGACCGATCAAACAAGTGGTGGCCCAAGAATGTAGTGGAATATTTCTGTGCTACAAGGAACAATGAATATGAAGATTACATGGCAAGACATATATGAACTGATGACAAGTGAAGTGAGCAGAACCAGGAAAAGAAGATTCCTAATAACTGCAACAATGTAAATTGAAAGAATAACAAAAATGGAAACTGGACACTGTGTAATTACAATGGCTAAGCATGACCTTAAAGAAGAAATTGGAAAATGTCCCTCACTTCTTTGCAGAGATAGGGAATGGTGGATGGGGAAACTGAGATTCTGGTCAGATCTTATTCATGTTTGATTTGTTTTTCTGAGCTGATATTTTTCTCTCTTTTCTAGAATCCTTGGCTTCATTTCAAGACTCAGCTCAAATCTCACTTTCTGTAGGGGAATTTTTCCACCACTACCCCCACCCCCAGATTACTTTCCATATGCTATGTACATGGTACGTATATACATACATACATTCCTCTTTAGAGGTTATTCACATGTTGCCTTCCTCCATAAAATGTGAGCCCCCTGAGGACAGGAACTGTGTTTTTGCCTTTGTATCCCCAGCATTTAGCCCAGTGCCTGGTACATAGTAAGCACTTAAGAAATGCTTCTTATTGTTTTAAGGGATGGTTTTCTGGGTCAGGGAAGGGAAAGGAATATATTGTTAAATGAAGGTGATTAAAAGAAAAGTTATCAGTTTTTAAAGATGCAGGGAGGATAATGACGGGGATGGGGAATGGGGGTTTAAGTAAATTGATAATCTTCTTGTCATTCTCTCTCCTGCTTACAAATTTGCTAAATGTTGGTGAATTACAGTGAATTAAATTGACCGGCCATGATGTGTCTCTCTCTTCTTTGCTTCCTTGGTGATTGACTGGTTTTCCTGCCCTTGTCTAACACCAGTAAAGGGAGGATCTCCCACCATTCTGTCTCAGATGAGAGTGTGAAAACAACCAAATTACAGATGTCCTGAGCTGCTGTTGGCTGTGTTAGCCTAACAGGACTGACTACTCAATTGCCTTTGCCCCACTCCTAAAAGGGCCAACATCTTCAGGAAACTGGCCCTGCCAAGGGTTGGAAATTTGGGCCAAGAGGAGGGGACCAAGCAGAAAACTGCATCTCCAACGTGGTAAAGGCAAATAAGCTGCAATGCCTTCTAGCTTATGCCGTTTTCTGACACTGGAGAAATCTTCCTTTCACAGCTTTGCGGAGAGGGTAGAAAATAGTATTTATTTGTAAGACCCCCTCCCCAAACAGCACACTAGCTTTGGAGGACCATCCTAGCTCACTTCCAGCTTGGCCAACTCTGGGTGATGCTAGTAGGAAGAGACTGGAGCTCCTGGAAGGTGCATCACTGTAGTAAAAGCTAACGTTTGTACGGTGTTATAAGGTATACAAAGTACACATGTAATTGGTTCCCTGAACTCCCACTGCCTGAAGGCCAAGTGTGTTACATTTCACTCCCACCTCTAGGATTTTCCTTAGGGGGTTGGAGGGCCCCTGATCACTGCCATTGTCTGAAACCCCTACAGATTGTGTCCCCCCACTTTTAGGAGTTCAAGTATTCCAGTTCTAATTTACATGTTGTGTTCCCCATCAGATTCTACGCTCCTTGAGTGAAGGACTGTCTTTTGCCTCCTTCTGTATCTCTAGCCCTTAGCACAGTTCAAGGCACATAGTAGGTACTTAATAAATGTTGATTGGTTGATTGATTGATTGCTTAACAGTCAGATTAGCTTTTATAGAAAAATATTTACTTCAAAGGTATAGCAAGAACAAATATCTTTGTCTCTCCCCCAGTTCCTGGGGAGAATAATCTTTCTTATGCTACCTAGGTGTTTGGGGAGAGGAAAGGGATTAGGTTCACATGGCTTAACTGTGTTCTTACAAATTAGTCCCAACCAAGTACTAAGTCCAAAGTCCCTGTGGGCTAGCTTTCTGGGACCCTTGCTTCTCAGGGCTTCCCTGTTGAACTGGCCACAACATATGACCTGGAATTCTGAATTCCAGGATCCCCTTGGCTCCAACTTCTGGGTTAAGGACTCCACTCCCTGCACCTAGAACCAAAAATGACAAGCAAAACAAGACTAAAACTTCAGGCCTGCTTTTTGGTGCCACTGGACCTAAGGGGAGGAGAAGGTAACCTTCCTTGCCTAACTTGTTAAATGATACCACTGCTACAAGTGAATGAGTCTTTCACCCTTGGATGCCACAGAAGAGAGAGGTAGATTTAAAGATTCAAACAGTTCCACATATCCAGCCTTTGGAAAGAAGCTGCTCCTAACCACATGGTAAGCCAATGCAGAATGTCCAAGAAGTTTATACAGGTTATACATGAACCAGGTACCCTTTCTCATAGAAGCAGGTCCCTTGAATCTCCCTTGTGGGTATCTCCCATTTTAGGTGAATGGGGCATGCACACACCCCTGTTACCCATGTATTATCTCATGTAATGCTTAAAACACTGTAGGGTAGGTGTTATTATTATCTCCATTTTACAAATGAGGAAACTGAGGCTGA